GGGGGGTGGGGGGGGGGGGGGGGGGGGGGGGGGGTTGGGGAGTTTACTCTAGTATAAGATGGCAAAATTCAGCTGAACTAGCTCTGGTATAGGTTAAGGGTTCCAGGGTCCGAGCAACACATCCCCACCCAGGAATTCCTAAATTACCCCCCCTCCCCTTCCGGGGATTGTGCACGGGCAGGGAGCTTCCAACATAACCTACAGCACCATTGTTTTCAACTTTGATGTTTGCCGGGTTTCCTAACCAGTCTCCTCTACTAACTATGCAATGATTTAGAGACCTTACACGGTACACCTGTTTCCTGGAGCGGCAAGGGTGTATGGATAGGCGAACAAGTTTGCCATGCAGCTAAAGATAAGGCGACCCCTAAAAGTGTTTTTAAACTTCAACAAGATGACACATTAGAACTCGAAGTTTCGGGATTCCCAACACATGATGGCCTTTAAGTTATTTCTTTATTCACAACCCGCAAAAAATGGGCTTTCCGTTCTGAAAACTCGGACACTCCAAGTGAGCCAACCACACTCCGCAATTTTTAACCCTGAGCGAGACTTAGCCCACTAATTCTTTCTACTTTAGCATATATGAACACTGTATGGGAGTTATCCTGCCCCCGGTCCCGTCTCAGAAAATGAATTGCCTAATTGTAAGTTGAACCTTGTACTACGACTTACGACCTCTCCTATCATGATCATTTGTAAGCCACTCATTAGTGAAGTATCCTTAAGCGTCTGGAGGATTGTAATTTTACTGCACATACTGGGTTACAAATACAAAGAAATTATATTTAGGCTTTGCCCCTTTGTAATAGATCCGAGATGAATTCCACTATTTGTTGAAATGTACCCATGATCACTCATCACTTTCTCATATAAGGGGTACCTTCTTAGAGAGGCTATACTCGATAAACAGTAATTTTACGAATATGTCTTGCAAGGCTCTATTTTTAAATATCATGTCCGTGTGCGATGAAAACATCATAAATATTAGTGCCTCTTATATTGAAAATATTCTAAATTGTTGTAAATCCGAACTGTAATTTAACTTTCTTACCCACGAGTAGCGGAGAAGCCGTACATAGCCAAGTAATTTTTTTAATGTTAATATTCGATATTTAGTTGTTGTTTCTTTCTGTCTTTCTTTTATTTTACTTTGCTTCATTTGTGATTATTTGTTTAAAATTACCCACCTTTTTCCGGTCATTCAAAAGGCATCGGCTATTTCGCGGGGCTGCAGAGTGACCCAGGCTGAACTTAAAGGTTTCTTTCGAAGAGTCCATATATATGTATATATATATATATTTTTTTTTTCCAGAACTGTTGTGTCTTTTTCGAATTAACTTGCAGGGTCATCTTTATTTCGTCGTACATCATTTTTTACTGAGACTTTTGAGACCTTTCTGTTCAATTTTAAGATCTGCAGCTTCTGAGTACATTCGTACATTCCAAACGGAGATCAGTTTCCTTCGCTCTTTCGTCAAGGCGTCTTAACTTTTTATTCGCCTCTGGAGATTTTCGTTTCCTCCTTTCAGAGAACGGCCCGTTCAAATTCTGTGACAGTTTCGCAATCAGCCATAAGGAATGTCTGAAAATTCTTTCTGTTGGTAACAATTGCGCGAAACGAGATGGGCAAAAAGACCAAATACAGCCCAGAAATATCCATCTCTATGAGAACCAACATATAATATGAAAGGGCACAAATGTTATAAACTTCCATCCAGAGATTATATTTGCCAGAGATTACCAGGATACACGCGCGCTGATGTCGGACGAGAAAAAGCTCGAAGCGATCAAGGAATCGTTGGAGTTTTTGCTCGTCCTCGCCAATGCATCCAGGATGTAAATCGAGTAACGAAATTTTCTAAATTAGTCCATTGCTCATTGCATGCCGCCACTTTCCGTGAGAAGAGAGCGCTAGGATCGTTAGAGTCTGTTCTTTAACTTTCAAGAACGAGTTTGTTGTAACACGTGCTTCTCTGCTGAAAGTTGCCTGATTATAACATCCGAGAAAATGCGCGCAAACGAAGAATGACGACATAAAGGTTTAATAAAAGCGCGCTGTCTGAAGTCGTTGATCAAATAGTCGTTCTGTGGTGAACGCTCATGGCTGCTTACAATGTTATTTTGTCCCGATTGTGGGGATTTTACGTGACAAACACCGTGGTCACCGGTTGCTTGATCGCAAGCTGCAATCCAGACAACACGAGCTTGCTGTATGCTTGGTTGGTTTCCTTATGTGACTTAGTTTACATTACAGACGCACTTGCAAGGTTTGGAAAGCGAGTCTACAAAACAGTTATTGCTGCAAATGTGGCATTGTTTAACCGTAGATCACCTCTCACTAGCTGTGAGATGTTTGTAATTTTGCTTAAAAGTTTGACGCTTGTTCCGTACCATGCAATGGTATTTAAGGAGCTGGATGATTCCTGGTTTTATTCGGCTGTGTGCGCCCTTCGCATAGCAGTTCTGTTATCATCTGGAAGATTTTATGTGATGAAAGCAATTTTGAAAACAAGAGAACAGCGACAACTTAAAGCTGCAGAGAGGGAGATACCACCACGGGATAGAATGAACACAAATATGAACTGTTCGAAGCAGGTCAATGAGAAAGAGATCTCAGATTACAACAACAACCAAAAAAGAAGTAAGGGCTGGCAAATTTTTGAAGAATAACTACATAATATATTTTTCTCCACACTGATCAAGACCTTAAAAGTAACAAATTGTTTTTATTGCCAATCAATAGCTTCAATGTAACATTAACCATCACTGTTACGTTCAAAAAAAGAATAAACCCTTTTCAACGTAACACCGTGAGTTGAAAAGCTTTTTCAGTACGGTTCGTAGCATTGTTCTCATGTCGGTGAGAATCTTTTCACGAGTCACACTCCATGTCTGTTCTCGCGTTCTTCGGTGCTTAGCGCGCTGTGCGAAGGGTATACAGTAATGAGGGGGTCAAAACGTTAAGAAGAAAAGCTGTGATTTTGTACAAACAAAGTAAGAAGTCATTTTTAGTGTCTTCACTGGAAAAAAAACCAACATGCCAGGTAACAGGTCATTAGCAAAACAATAATGAATTGATCAGACAAGGAGACCACAGTACAGTTCAGACAAAATTAGGTTACCTTCGAGTTTCTACACACAAAACAAAATCTCAAAATAAGTTGTTTTTTTATTTTCTTCATGATAACAATAGCTGAAAACAGAAATGCAGATTGACAATAAAATGTTATCTCAATAATAACAATTACTCGGTGTCTGCCAAACNGGGGGGGTGGGGGGGGGGAGGGGGGCTATTATTCAATACCGCCAGTATTGAAAAACTCCCTCGCGAAACCACACAGTAATTTATCTATAAAGAAATTGAATAGTCTATCAAGTTCCACGCAGATTAACTAAAAAAAAAAAGTTAAACGATAGATGACAAAACTGGCCAGGTATTCCCTCTCGATTTAACGAACATTGCTTCTCTTTCAATGATCATTCTGTACAAATTAGCCTCTACTTCTTCACGCTGTTGAAGTGCCTTTCTGCTTTGCAGCAAAGTCCGCCATCCTGGTTTCAAGCATAGGTCTGAAATGGCGGATGAGTCCCTAAAAAAAAAAAAATATTAAGAAACATTTGTTAATGAATTATTGACAGTAGCTCCACTTCTAGGCCCATCCTCTTTACCCTCTCCTCCCAACTTGACGAACTCGCGCGGAAACGCTTGCTACGCAGACTATCTTTTTCTTCCCTGTAACTCCATTCAAAATGTATTTGAGTTCCCAAATACCTCCTCAATGTTTATCTTCCCATATTTTCTCTACTTGAACACCAAAACACGCTTTATTTCCGAACTTTTTAATTTCGCTGTCTGAAACAACTTTATTGCGCCTTCCTATTTCTTTAGCAACTTACAAGCGCGTTTTCCTGTTTCAGTCTAAATCACCTTAGTTTCCCGAAAATTTCCTATCTTTTTTTTTCTGTTTTTATTAGAGACTTTCAGATTCGACGATTCGCGTATTCTCAAAAAGCTTCATCGTACTTTCTTTTCAGCAAAGTTAACACGGTTATTTGTAGCGGAGCACCATGGGTAGGAAAATTTCGTTATCTATGCATCCAAGAAATTTTGGTTCTGAGAAAATCGTCCGTAAGCGTCCGTACGTACGTCCACCCATTGGTGTAAGCCGGGGTGAAATTTTGCATTTCAAGTACCCGCGCGTTTCGGCGTTAAATCGCATAGCCACCCGAACTTTTAGATATAAAACAACAACAACAACAAAGACGATTCTTTCTTTCGACTTAATTTTAATGTCCACATTGACGTGGATAACAGAGAAAGAGCTAGAGCGAGAGATAAAAAACAAAGGAGACCAATTTCGTTGGTGGAACAATATAAAAATTTTATAGCGGAGGTGAGAAAATGAGAAAAGCTAGCGGCCACCAAGGTGAAATTGAGTGGCAGCGAAAAAAATTGAACAGGAACGCATACAACATTTCCCCCACAAAACGTGTAACTAGGAAGTTTTACTTTGTAGTCGTGCAAAACAATGGCAAAGAAATGCACAAAAAAAGTGTGTTGCACGTGCAAAGTTGTTTTTTTGCTAATTAGACCTACTGATTTTTTGGGCTGTTTTTGTTGCCGTCGCCGCTTAGCATGCATTGCAAGATTTTACATCTTGTTTTCAGTAAACTATAGATATTAACGAGAGCTTTGCTTTTAGCCCTGGATAAATCTATTTAGTAAAATCCAACTAGTAGTCTATTATCAATGCCGCGTTCCGATTGGTTGAGCTACTACTAGGCTATATGTTATAGCCAGCGAAAAGCGCCGGTTTTGAAAACCAAAACAATGACGACTGAATCGCGTTTTCCCAGCTGAAGTTGTTTTGTGTCGACATTTTCGACCAACTAGTTGTATTTTACTAAAACAATTACTCCTCTCGCCCTCACGGCCTCTGAGTCAGCTCTGAGTCAATAGCCCATTCAGCCTTCGGCCTCATGGGCTATTGACTCAGAGCCCATTCGCGCTCGAGGAATAATTGTTGAATATTATTTAAGGAGGTTAAGCCCTTCTCCCGACGGTTACCGCGTTTTCCCGCCAAAATGACGCAGGTTCACGCGTGCGCACTACTAAGTATTGATAAAATCTCGGTCTCGTAGTCGTCCTCGTCTTACAATCTAAAGGTCTCTCTCTCTATTTTCAAGAATAATAAAACAGCCTAATGGTCTGTGTATTGGAAATACTAGCCTGCGAAAACATCCGTTTCTCCTCGCTCTTCGCCGCTGGGGACGTTTCGCGCGGAGGAACGTCCCCAGTGGCGAAGAGCGAGGAGAAACGGATGTTTTCACAGGCTATGGAAATACAGTCTTCTTTTACGTGTTCTCACCTGCACTGGCCACGCGGCGCCATCACCCAGCGCACAAATTGTGTGACCTTCTATCTGCTTACTCAGCTCCTGATTTCAACGAAGAAAACATGTACTAGTCAGGTCTTCTACAACACATTCACAAATTCCTTTCAACGTTGTGAATGCTCTATTTCTGAATCCCCCATAAAACACTCTGTTTACTCAATCCAGGGGGCCCCCTCCTGCCCCCTCTTCCCAATGTTCCCGATCCCAGTGACTGGGGGATATGGGCCTCACACCCTGAGAGCAACCAGGACTCCTGTCCAGGATGACCAACCCGGTATCTCTTCGGCTCATCTTCCCAGGAGCTCCCTTACCACCAAAATTTTGCACTTACTTTCTGTTTGGTATAACTGCCTAGAATTGCAATGCGAAACTATCCACCGATCGGAAGAGTTCATTAATTTTGCATTAACTACGGTTTTCAGACTGAATATTCCTAAGAGCATCTTTAAACAATAACTGATGCAAAACTTTGGAGGGGAAGGATTGGGGGGGGGGGGGGNGGGGGGTGGGGGGGAGGAGGCCAAACAGGGTATACTATGGGGGATTCGAAAATAACCCATGCTGACGTTTTCACTTACCCACAACATGTCAATTTCGTCTGGAGTTGCATTTCCTTCAACTAACAAAGCAAAATAAGAACTGATCATAAAAAATGCTATGTTACAACATATCTTTTTAAACAAGCATTTAATTTGCAGAAGAGTATCTATTTCGTTTATTTTTTTTTAACTTATTGTTAAGTGCATTTGATCATGCTCCATGGAAAATTGCGCTATATTTGTATTAATTGAAATTGTAATTATAACGACACTGAAGGACCACAGCTTCAATTTCTCGGTAAAATGACTGAATTTTATTTACTCACCGAATCTGTACATGATGGTGGTCATCCAACTGCAGCCCTCTCTGCACGGTGTGCACTGGTAACCAACAGATAAACAACACATCACGTGACTGACTATCTCTGTCATGATTGGCTCCATTGCTTTGGGTTAAGTGTGCGAACGAGCCAGACCCCAACGACGGACAACACTAAATTTGGTTTAATCAACGTAGTTTGCAAAGCTAATTTGTCAACATGAAGGGAATTGACAGTTAACGTTTGTGAACGTAAATAGCCCGGAAAAACAGTCGATACAGTATTGGCGATCCCACCACTGTTTTTTCGCGCGAAATGACGTCTGAGGAACGAGCGCAAAACTTCGATACTGATGATGTCTCACTACCAAGATTTGGGTAGTGCTTCTGATTGGTTGAAGAAAACTCCCTTCGCTGCACGACCAACCACTACTGTTTTACGTCATCCCAAATCATTTCTTATTTAGGGGCGTTTAGCGTCATCATTACCCAACGATTCAGCGCGACCCCTGTTTAAGCAAATCGAGATTTTTTATACTTCCCTTTTATAAGCGCGAGCTACTTGGATGCCTCCTCGGGATTTAGCCTTCTGGGCGAAATCCCTGCGGGGGCAAAAATTCACTTAATGTAAATTAGTTAAAGGACACTACAGTTACCTGCCCACAACTCTCGTGCTTGTAAAACTCGATGAGTCTTGCAATGGCTCGGATAAGATCGCACTAAGAGAAAACACATATCAAACTTTTATTAGTAAACGTTTTACTGAACTCTCCGTTCGACATCTGCTAACAGTTTCCCAACCCTTTTTTTTTCACGAAACAGTTATGTTACTTGTAAAATCAAAATTCTCCCGCCAAGCTCTTCTCACATCTGATCTCCACCAAAAAAATGTTTTGTTAAATTGGCGTTTGTTTGTTTGTTTGTTCAGTTTTGTTGTTTCTTTACCTGATTACTAGCCTGCGAGCAACCACTTCATTTCGAGTAGCAAGTGAGGCGAGGCATGAGAGAACGCGCGAGGGTTTGCCACGAGCGACGGAGGGGAGAAACTTCGCACCCAGTTTGTTCTAAGAGGAGTACCAAATTCTCTCGCGTGCCGCTCGCGCGTGACTAAATGGAGACCTTGCTCGCGGACCTACTGGTTTGCTTTTGGCAAGGAAAAGATTGAGAAAATTGTACAGCTATTAGTACCTGTTTGTTCATAACTATCACTGCTGCTGTGCCTAAGCCAGTCTGTGCCTCAACAAGGGCATCGAAGTCCATTAACACATCTTCACAGACACTGAAAAATGGACGAAAACGTAGAGTAATACAGTTGAACCTCCAATGGAAGTTGGCCCCTTAAGGGGTTTGTCATGCAGAAACATCATTAATTTTATTTTGAAACAAGCACTTAAAGGGAGCGGCATAACTACAAATTACTGGTCCACAATCGGTTATCACCTTCTATCTCGGACTCTATTTTCCTTTATCATGTTCTTGAAACGAAGCTAAACTAAGAGTATCAAGCGCTTGATGGCAAAGATAATAGAGGTCTTGACGCGTCCCTATCACGTGCCCATGAGGCTTAAACAAAACCAAAAGCACCCGTGGAATAAAGAAGCCGCGCGCGATAAACCTCACCAGCTACGGGGGCTAAAAAAAAAAAATTCCCACAAGATCCGGGCACTCATCGTCTGAGCGACTTATCATATGGACAATGTTTAGACTTGTAGATATCAAATTAAAGAAGTAAAGCTAAAAACATATACGCGATTTAATTACCCTGAAAAAACATAAAACAATAACCTAGTAATACTTACTCTTTAGGAATAAGCGGGGTCGAGGAGCCGCCAGGAATTACTGCCAAAAGGTTATCCCAGCCACCTATAAAAAAATCAACTTTTTACTAAAAGTGGTTGTGTAAACTTCTTACAAAAATATCACCTCATACAATATAAATAGGGACTTCAAGATCCAACGACACGACGGCAATGAGAACGTCGCTTAAAAAGTGAATTTGCGTTCTTTCAGTCTTTATCGCAATTATTGTTACCCACTCACTTTGTCAAATGTAGGCGAACCCTCCTCAAGTTGAATTCCTAGGCACCATATCCAAGTACAGTAAGATAAATAAAATTTCGTCGTTGCTTGTTTACGTCGTCCATAAAACGCGAAATTAGGCATGTTCACGTCGTAGTCGTGCAAAAACGGGCAGAGAAATGTACAAAAAAAGAGTGGTGCACGTGCAAAGTTGTTTTTTTGCTAATAAAATCTATTGTTTTTTGACGTTCTCGTTACCGTCCGCGTCGTTGGATCTTAAAGCCCCTGATATCACTTCATTTGTGCCGTGTAGTTGTACCGTAGCTTACCAAGAACTCCACCAGCGTGCTTTTCAATCAGAAGTTTTAAGGGAACAGACATCTCTTCCTCAACAGTACAGGGATGATTAACATGTCCGGATATGTTGAAAAGCTGACGACAAAAACACAACAAAGATCTTGTTCAATCAAGCACTAGTCTGCACTGTGTTCAAGAGGGGCCCGTTTCTCGAAAGTCCCGATAATTAATAGGCCCGTAAAGCTGTTGCCGTTTACATTAAAGATCGAGGTTTTAATAGTTTTGCATCTAACATGATAAAACCATCAGTTAACGAAACAAAATGGAGTAGTTTAATTACGCTAGGCAGGACCCGGGCTCTTATTCTTTATATTTTGGATTTGAATATTTGATTTCGGGCCCGAAAAATACCGGGACTTTCGAGAAAGGGGCCCCCAGGGCCGGAAATTTTGTCCGTGCAGGGCTCGAAAGAAGTCCCGTCCGATAGTCCGGGACAAGAAGATTTTCTTGCTGGGCAAGTAACTTTCAAGCTTACTTGCTGATTGGGTTATTAGAGTCCTGGCAAGTCATCCTCTAACAAAATCTTTAGAGAGCTTTAGATTCTAAGAGGAGTACGACTACGAGACAAGATTTTCTCAATGCCAAGTAGCGCACGCACGCGAACCAACGTCATTTTGGCGGGAAATGTGGTAGCAGTCGTCAGTTGTACTGCGAGTTTTAGCGAGAATGTCGTAGTGGCGCAAACAAGTTATCAAATGTTAGGAATTTTATCATTTAGCGATCGGGAGAGGGCTTCACCTCCTTCAACGGAAATAAGCGTGCTTACCGGGGTATATATTTTAAAGAATAGGCGAGAAAAATTAAATGTAGATCTCGTGGTCGTCCTGGCCTCGTCCTCAAAACTAAAACGAGCAAGACGTGGGCCCAGGCAAACAAAATGTGAGAGCTGCTTGCCCAAAGGAAAAGCTGTCCTAAATCAAGTTTTTTCAAGCCCTCCAGTGGTCTCCAAGCATGAACTTTAGAAATGTGAGCCACGGAAAACACGAACATTTTACAAAACCCTGAATACCTTTCTCATTTCCTCGTCTACTTCAAATAAGTGGTAGCTCTAAGTTTCACCCGAAGGCTTTCGCTAGGACTTGAGTCGATTCGCTCGATGACATACAACAATCTACAACATGGTGAACCTACTTCTCCGAGATGCTATTTTAGTTAACCTTGGATTCCACATGTGCAGCCACTGTCTTCCCATGTTTATTCCTTTTTCTCAGGCTTAAAGAACGACAAAAACACATCGGGCGAATCGACTTAATCTGGGCGAACTGCCATCGGGCGAAAGGACCCGTTTCCCTAAGTATTAGGTAGAAATATTTGATCCCCTTACTTTTGTCCCTGTGTTTCTTGGTCGACCAAACGAAGAAAACCAATCCCCTCCTCTTCTGCAGATCGCCTGACATGAGCAAAATAGTGAGATTAAAATTAGATAAAATTACTACAGAGAATTGAAGTCCTTTATCGATTTTTTTTTTATTATTTTAATTATTTACATGTACTGATGTTTATTTACTTAATTTGTACAAAATTTCACATTCACCACTTGCACATCACTCAAAGTGATCTTAATAAAAACTTGAAAAAACCGTAAGATTGTTCAGAAACATACATTTAAATAAAATAGCTGCCAAACACGATTAGCCAGCTCAGCCTAGCATGGGAAAACTGAAATCTGGAAAGTCGTTCTAGGTAAGAGTTTAACCAATACCCGATGAAAGAGAAATTGCAGATTTATAACTATAAACAAAATAATATTATGCGGAGAGAAAAATAATCTTTGCGGAAATTTAGTACATTGATATTGCATCAATTTTGTTGCATTATCACACAAGTACAATAATGGCAAGGAGATCTAAAAGAAGTTGTCTACATGTAGGTACATCTGAGGATGAATCAAAACAGGAAAATAATGGACATAAAAATTCTATACCAACCGGAGCCACAGCAACAGTCTCCACATTTGCCACGGTTGTGGGGCACCCAAACACTCCTGTTAAAAAGGCAGAAAAAGAATGCAAATGACATGAGAACAAGCTTAATCGTTCTTGATCTTCCTACTACAATTAAGTCGCTTTTGCAGAGCAGCTGTGCGACAAATCAATCCTTCTGCACAGGTCAGGCAACAAGTACAGTATGTAGCTGCAAAAACTTCATAGCGACATAATGCCCCTATGAAACTTTTCCACCACTTTGTTACAGTGACAAATCACTACAAATGCACTTGTGTTCACACTGTAAACGGCAAAGCCCTTAACACACGGTCTTACCAACATCTGCAGGAAAAGGTGGCTTCAAGCGAGGCTTGCCTTGCTTTCCCTCCAAACTCTCAATCAGTGCCTACCAAAAAAATATTACATGTACCAGTATTCAAGACAATGAAAAAGATTCGCTCTGTCATAGAGCAATATTATCCTCATTTTCCAATGCAACCTCTCTCTATTCAATGAATTAAAATTTCTAAATGAAATCAAATCAAAATTAACTGTCACACACAGATTTTTGCTACCCGTAAGTGTATTTACAGTAACTACAGTCAAGTCTTTTAAATGACTCAAGTATTTAATAACTGAAACATCAAAGCTTGCCAAGGAACTTGCAGTGATTCATTTCCACAATGTTACACAAGTCATCCACTTTGATAAAATACATGTTCATAGTCACTACACTATAAAGTACAATCATCCACGATAATTTATTGTTATTTACAGGTAAAAAAAGGCTGTATTTTACCGTTTCTTCTCCACAAATGTAAGCCCCAGCTCCTCGGTGCATATAAACATCAAAGTCGTATCCACTGCCACAAGCATTTCGACCAATCAGACCTTCCTTATAGGCCTCATTAATGGCCATCTGCATGTTGGATGCTTCATTATAAAACTCTCCTCTGATATAAATGTATGCTGTAAAATACATGTACATGTGACATAGTATATGAGAGAGTCAAGTATGGGTATCAAAAGCTTCATGTACTTAAAGCTACATGGCAATTGGGAATTAACTACAGTGTAGGAGAGAACAACTGGACAACTGACAATTTGACGGATAAACGGATTGAAATGTACAAATGACATTATGAGTCATCATAGCCAATATCATCATGGCTTAATTTCTCACATGGCAAGAGAAAGTACCAAAAAAATTGTTCTTGTTAAGCCTCTCATTCCCTGTAAATAGAAGTTCTAATATCAGTTATACAGGCACTTACCTGCTCTTGCACCCATTCCAGCTCCAGCCACTAAGCAGCCTTCTATCAGCTTATGTGGATCATGCCTCATTATCTCTCTGTCCTTGCATGTTCCTGGTTCTCCTTCATCTGCATTTACCACAAGATACTTTGGCCTGAGGGCAAAAAGAAGTAAATTTTCTTGTGAACAGTTTACAAATTGAATTGAAATATATGAAATGAATCATACTGCCTTGAACTGTGGATATAGATATGAAAGCGAACGTGATCATACGATCATTTCATATATTTCAAAAATTTTCCACCATCAGGTAAGTTGTGAACTCACGATGGCTTCATGCTCTCCAGTTGGCTTGATAAGGTCAATCAATAGAGCATTGTGTCTAGTCATCACAAAGTTCAGAGTCTGATTCCTGGCCAAGCCTGAATTTTCAAAATCTATACTACATGTATGACGGAAAATATATGTGCAGTGTTCAAATTGATTTGGTTTATGAAAACTAAGCTCTTAGCTATGAGCGATAGCTGCTTAAAAGTGCGGCTTAACTATACTATTCTGATGACATTGCCCTCACAAGCCCAGATAAAAAACATTTCCTTTCCAAGAAACTTCCACGATTTGTAGCGAGGTTCAGATTTGGCAGTTTGGATCACTTGGACTTGCTACATCACTTTAATTTGTCAACAGAAATGAACAAAATGTTACACAAGTTGTACCTTCCATCTGATGGCTTGTTCATGAAGCCCCATTTCATTCCGGTAGGGAAACCTGACAAAAAATTGAGGAGTTAAATAAGCCTTCTTAAACCAATTCTTTCAGAAAGAAATAAAAGTTTACAAGTGCGTAATGAAGATTTGACAAGATGGATTCCATCTTGGAACTTAGTGAGATGATACTGGGAACAACCTTTTCCCAATGAAGTATAAAAATACCCTATTGGTACATAATTATGTCCTTAATTTCGCAGGTCCATAATTTTGTATTTTTCGCGATTGAAAAATTAATCACAAAATTAAAGACCTGCAAATAAAAATCCCCACAAAATTTACAAAATTCAAATCACAGAAAAAAATGAAAAACATTTAATAACTACAACATACACTGTACACTGTACCGGATATAAATGTATGTGTCCACAGATTATACCTATAAATTATTAGCTGGTTTTTAACTAGTACGTTCCATTCTGTGAAGTCCCGTTTCTTTTGTTGTGAAATAACGTTAATATGCAGTTTGTTTTTTTCATTTTATCTCCCAGTTGATATTTTAAAAAGTTCAGAAGATTGAAAAATAAAATCAAGTTAAGAATGCTTGAATCGCAAAATTTGATGCTATTTCTCATATTATTTGCCTCTTGAAATCAATTCCGCAAATTGTATCTGCGTAATTACAAAAATGTTCTTTAATACAGACCTGCTCCACCTCGTCCACGCAAGCCAGATTTTGTGATTTCTTTGATGATCCAGTCTTGTCCTTTCAGTATTATCTCCTTGGTTTTGTACCAATCACCCTATTATCAAATTACAGCAAAGTAAAGNCCCTATTGGTACATAATTATGTCCTTAATTTCGCAGGTCCATAATTTTGTATTTTTCGCGATTGAAAAATTAATCACAAAATTAAAGACCTGCAAATAAAAATCCCCACAAAATTTACAAAATTCAAATCACAGAAAAAAATGAAAAACATTTAATAACTACAACATACACTGTACACTGTACCGGATATAAATGTATGTGTCCACAGATTATACCTATAAATTATTAGCTGGTTTTTAACTAGTACGTTCCATTCTGTGAAGTCCCGTTTCTTTTGTTGTGAAATAACGTTAATATGCAGTTTGTTTTTTTCATTTTATCTCCCAGTTGATATTTTAAAAAGTTCAGAAGATTGAAAAATAAAATCAAGTTAAGAATGCTTGAATCGCAAAATTTGATGCTATTTCTCATATTATTTGCCTCTTGAAATCAATTCCGCAAATTGTATCTGCGTAATTACAAAAATGTTCTTTAATACAGACCTGCTCCACCTCGTCCACGCAAGCCAGATTTTGTGATTTCTTTGATGATCCAGTCTTGTCCTTTCAGTATTATCTCCTTGGTTTTGTACCAATCACCCTATTATCAAATTACAGCAAAGTAAAGTATAGTTGTAGTGAACAAAATAGAGGACACCATGGGCATGTGGCTCAAACAGCCACAACTTAACCCAGTTTCTGTAGGAAAAAGTGCTTGTCGCAGTTACTCCTTCCATAGAAAGTCAATAAATTACATGAGTATGGAGGACTCATTCATTATTAAATTTATAGCATTAAATTATTAAAACATTACTAAATTTATTTTCATTAACATTAAATTACAAACACTTTACCCTTTCAATTGCTCCCTTTAGCTTCCAATCATGTCGACCATACAAGTTGGTAAAGATACGGTCCTCATCCTACCAAAAAAGATTGAATTTTTATCTTTGAGTACTTACTTTTGTCACTTGCAAGTCATGATTTCACAATGATCTTTCCATGTTCCAATAATATCAATTTACCACAAGCAAGCTACATGTATTAAAGACACTTGTGTGATTATGCACATAATTATTTACCAACCTTCATATTGCCAAAAGATGTCTTGACCTGCAAAATCATCAAAAGACATTGATAAGATTTTACTTAATTAATAGTAACAACAGTTTTGCTTTGACAGACAACAAGACAGGACAGTATGCATGTAACTACAATATAAAATGGGTGTGCAGGATTAGACCCAAGAAGACCCTGACCTAAAATAAAATTATGCCGCCATTGTTTAACATGCTTTGCAAGGCAACTTGGAAGGAACATTTCTCATTTTATTGGGAACTTCTTTGGGCCTAGTATTCCAGGCAGTGTTTCAGCACGAGTTTTCAAAACAAAACCACAGGAGCAAAAGAAAGTCTCTTTTATTTATTTTGGTAGATCTTTCGCAGAGTGGAAGCAAAATAATCTTTGAACTTTTCAGGCATTGTGGTAATCGCTGAAAACAATTCAAAATAGACTCTAATGCTACAGCTAACAAGACGGTAGCCAACTTGAAAGCTGCCGCTCTCTTTGCCACTATGCACATACCTCCTTAGATTGTCTTTTCTTTTATCTATCTTTATAACAAATTCTTTTAAATACTGTATGTTTTCAAACAATTCTTAATATTTAAGTCCTGTAAGCAATGTAAATATAAAGTTTAAGAGGCCGAAGTTAAACTGCAATGCTGGCATCTTCTATGCCAGGGCATACAGGTCGTTTCTTTCCTCAGGTAACCAACATGTTAAATTCTACATAACTCAGCACTTGAATTGGAGTGAGGAAACAGAAGGGACAGGGCAGAAAGAAAATAATTATTCTTCTCTTCTCTTGCCTTCTCCAACCTCATTTTTACACCCTACTGCCCATGACCACATTGCCACATTTTCGTCTCTTCCAAATTGGCGACGAATCAAACAGCTAGTGATTTCGTTTGGTTCTATTTTTCTTGTTTCTTATTTTTGTGTTTTCAAAGTAGCCGAGGATCAAGTTCACAGTAGCCAGGGGGGGAATACCTAGCCCACCTGGTCCTTAATCATTACCCTGGAGCACACAAACACAAAGCCTTTGAACACCAGAAAAATACACCTGCATATACATGGTCTGCTGGCCAACATTGCACTGAACCTAGAGTCTTTAACTGTGATTACTCAGATTGGATAAACTACAATAATATTTAATCAGAAGGTCAGTTTTGAGATCTCACCTAATTCTGAACATACGGACTACCACAGTAACAAAAATAAAACTAACCGGTGGTGAAGACGCTGCAGCTGTTGATGACAGCCTACTGCAAGCAACAGCACGGCACAGAGACTGAATCTGTCCTCCTTAGATGAATGACAAAATGTGTTTAAAAATCAAATTATTGATAAATAAAGAGATCCGCAGAGGCAAAGCGTCAATAGGTCTAAGGAATGGCAGGTAGAATCTGTAAATCACTCCGACAAGGTCTATATTCTGTGGGTATCTGGTCACTTTGTTCCATAGCCAGATTGTTCCAATCCAGATCGTTCCACTTAATAGTCAGATTGTCCCACAATCAGAATTTTTCATGAGTCTTTAAGCCACGAGCAGAAACAGAGGCATTACTCATGTTTATACATTGCACCTCATTCTTTAAGCCAAGAAGCCAAAACAAACGCCCTTCATGTTCTTCCAGTTTTAAACTGACAATCTGACAACAAGATGGAATGATCTGGCTTCCAACGATCTGACCGTGGAACGAAGCGACCGTAACTTCCAAAGAGAAAAACATTTTATCAAAAAATAATGTGCCTTTTAACTTTACTTCTTCGATTCTCGTTATATTTTTACTTTTATTTTTACTTATTTATTTATTTCTATTTTTACATCGGTCAATAAACATAACAAGTTCAGCTTTCTACTGTCTATCTACGGCTGCAAATAAATTCACTATGCATAATACTAACACAAAAATAGAAGATCGCTGAACGCAAGGATAGTATAAAGCTTACATAACTGCATGGAGTTCCAGCAAGGAACTTCGATCTACTAGAGATCTGACATGACACTACAAGTTGTAAAAAGTATATGGTAAAAAAGCAATTTAACTTACTCTGTAATCCATTTAACTGCAGCCTCATCAAAGGCTTTGCCATGATTGATCCAAAACACTCAGGAAGTTGGCTTGATCAACTGTTTTACGGTCGAAATTCAGTCACCGTTGCATAACAAGACTAGATCCAATATGGAGGCAAGGAACAACAATGCCGAGTTGGATCACGGGACTGTCTAATAATTTTATGCTTCTCTTACATAGCGTATTTCTCGACTACGCAGATACCGCATAGAACAAGAGCCCACGAACAATGGTCTGTGCAGATGTCAAGAACTTCTAAAAATTACCTGGAATTAGAGCTAATCTGCATCACCGCGAGCAGGATTCTCAAAATGATTGACTATAATAGTGGAGCTCTTTCAGAGGAGGAGTACATTTTTCAGTCTAGAGGTATGATTATAAAATTGTATGCGTTATCCTGGCGTTATTGACCGAGCTTGGGGTCAAGACTGGTCGGATTTTGGCGAAGTTTTTTTGTTGACAGAGACGAAGTTGAGGTCAATAAAAACGCTAAAACGAACAAGGCCAATATTCGGCCATCTTCACGGAATACACTTGGTCTATAAAGGATTTATTAGATGGTCAAAACAGGGAATTTTTTTTCTTGAGGGACAAACGCGGGAAATCCCGAGCGCCATCTTGCCTGCTCGGGTAGCCAATCAGAAAGCAGGATTCGTTTCATTTTGCCCGCTTACGGATTTTACCATACAATTAAAAAGGGTACGGCTTTCGTAAGTACAATCTACCAATGTTTATGACACCCAGACAGTTTGCCAACAACTGACAACTCTAGAAAATACCATAACATACTATAATGCTCTTTGTTTGTCACCCCAAAATTTTGCATAAGCACTCTCTTCAGTCTCTCTTGGGAGTTAAAATGGCCCCAAGAGAAACTGAAAACTGACTGCTCATTCAAAATTTTGGGGTGACAAACAAAGAGCATTATGGTTTGTTTGTTTGTAATATTTATTTGTTTACCCACGGAGCACTGAAGAGTTCATAAGAACGTGTCCATGCGTTCCAGTTTGAATTGGACTTTGAAAGTGTTGGTTTTTAAGAAGAGAGGAAAACTGGAGTACCCGGCGAAAAACCTCTCGGAGCAAGGGAGAGAACCAACAACAAACTCAACCCACATATGGCGTCAACGCCAGGATTCGAACCGGGGCCACATTGGTGGGAGGGGAGTGCTTTCACCACTTCACCACCCTTGCTCCCCTGACCCTATGGTATGTTACGGTATTTTCTGGAGTGGTCAATTGATGCACCGCAGCTTGCCTGAGATCAGGCGGCATTTTAGTGTGGTCTTCTCCACTAGTGGAGGCCCATTTAAGGGAGGGTGGGAGATGTTTGCTTGTGGAATCCAGAATCCAGGAAATTTTCTTATGTGGAATCTGGAACTCTGGGCTTTGGAATCCAGAACCCCACTATAAGAATTGGGATCTGGAATCTAATTTCCACTTTCTGGAATCCAGTGTATGGAATCCAGAGTCCACGCCATGGAATCCAGAATCCAAGAGTCGTCTTGGATACTCTCACATGAGGCAATATGGGTATCCACATCCATTTTTGAAACTAACTACACCTTTAATTAGTAATGTCTATTTTTTTTTCCAAAAGTAACCATAAAATAACGCTTTTTTTCACAATCTATATTAACATTCTATTGTTCAAATTAACTGAAATTATATACACAAAAAAGGATGAAGACAGGTGTTTTGAACTCAGTATAAATAGCCTGCATGACAGCCGTCAAAAGAGGAGTAGGATGGAGGGAAAAGGGGGCAGGGGATTCCTTTTCGTGTTTTTCTCCCCTCCCCTTCCCTCTCCCCCCATCCCCTTTTCTGCGGCTGCCTGGGGGTAGGGGGTAGGCTATTATAGAGAGGCGAAAACAGTTGATTTTGCTATACAAGAGATATCTGGCTGGCAGATCTGTACATCCTGTACATGTCTTTAGACGCAGCAGTCTCTTTGACAGTTTTTTCGAAGGCTGGTCTACTGAGAACTATTTGACTTGTGGAACGCTTGATCACTGGCTGCTTGTTATTTATGGCTATTCTGTTCTCCTTTGTGCTTCTAAACTCGTCTCCAGACCTCGGTCTTCCACCCTTATACATGACAGGCATACTACTGTGACGTGTAAGCGATCCGAACGCTGGGAGTGAAGAGGAAAACGACGATTGGCGTGCGTGATCGTCGACGCCTTCAGAACGCCGACAACCGTACACTGCAAAGGTCTTTGTCCTGTAAGTGTTCCGCTCGAAGGCATCGCTAGGCATTTCATTTATTACCGGCATGCTCCCGAAACGGCTAACAGCGCCGTCAGAAAGAGTATGCGAGCGACGCCAGGTGAACGGTGCGCTTGATAATCGTTCAGTGTCAGCCAGGCTACGTGCGCGAGCTCTGAAAACATTCCCCGTTCTTCTTTCGCTATTTTCCTTTCCCTCACTCTCACTTGGTTTGATCAAATGACCAAGATAACTATTGGAACGTCTGGCAGTAGCAAAAAATGAACTGCTTCGAGGGTTGACCGCGGGTGGAAAAGTCTTCAGTAACTGCGATACACTTTTTTCGTTCTTTTCCTCTTCTTCGCTTTCTTCTTCGTCGCTTAATATCCCAGAGTCTTGTTTCGCGTGATTTATTCTAAGCTCTTCTCGATGGTTTTTGTTTTTAATGGTTTCCACTACTCTCACATATCCTGGAGCCGGTTCAAGATCTCTTGCTCTTTCCTCCTGTTGTGTTTCCATTTCCCATCTTTCTCTTTCATTCTTAAGTTCGTCTTTCAGATCGCAGATGCTTGAACGCATTGCAAGCAACTGCTTGTGCATGTTTTTGTCTTGAAGCTGTATGGCTGCCTGAGGAATTCAAACAAATCAAAACGATATGTTCATCAGTTTGACAAGGTTTAAACTGTAAAAGCGAAAGTAATACAAATACAAACAAGACCTCCTTCATCCCGGACTTCGTAATATAGCACAAAGAAGAGGCAAAGCAGCGAATCATGGGACAAATCGCACGGCTCATCCTCCCCAATTACCCCGCGCACCGGGTAGAAGCAATAGACCTTTTTACCGATATGGCGGCCATATTGAATTAATTCGACTTAAGGAGTATTATAGGATGCCCAGGGGGCATGAGCACATTTCGTTTCTATTTTCGAGCTTATTTCGGGAGATTTTTTCTTAAAGTTTTCTTAGAATAAGATTGTAATGGGAAAAAAGAACTTTGTGCCGTGTTTGGATGTAATAATGATCGCCTTTTTCTAGTTTAGTATTAGAAATATGATCTTTCACTTTATATTTCTCGGGAAAAAGGCGATCATTATTACATCAAGACACGGCACAAGGACCTTTTTTCGCATTACAATCTTATTGTAAGAAAACTTTAAGAAAAAATGTCCTGAAAAGCGCTCGAAAATACAAACGAAATGTGCTTGTGCTCCCTGGGCATCCTATAATACTCCTTAAATCGAATTAATTCAATATGGCCGCCGTATCGGTGAAAAGGTCTATTTGTCCACTTTAGAAACGAGAGGGGATCTGGAACCGAAATGCATCGCGCAATTGTGTCTGGGATTGTTACTGGGGATGCGTTGATCAGGTTATGTGGACTTTAAGATCCAACGACGCGACAGCAACGAGAACGTCTAAAAAACAATAGGTTTAAGATGCAAAACAACAATTTTGCACGTGCGTCACACTTTTTTGTACATTTCCTTGCCGTTTTTGCACGACTGCGACCTGAAAATACCTAATTTCGTATTCTATGGAGAACTAGAACGTAAACAAACGACAACGAAATTTCATTTCTCTTTCTGAACTTGGATATGATCCCTTGGAATTCAACTTCAGGAGGGTTCGCCTACATTTGACAAAGGAAGTGAGTAGGAATAACAGCGATAAAGACTGAAAGAACGCAAATCATTTTTTTAAACGACGTTCTTGCTCCCGTCGTGTCGGAAAGTCCCTAGCAGCCAATTATTTCCCTGTCCAAGGTATCAACCCCCGAAGTCTTTGCGAAATTTAGCTCGGTCCAGTCTCCTTTCCTTTTCGAAAGTGGCGAATTCAAGGACAAAGCAGTATGGACTTGAAACGAGGCAACAGAGTTAGAATTGGATCATGTGACACCAAGCCACAGTTGAACCTCCAATAAGCGACCGCCCTGTGGGTACCGGCAAGTGGCCGCTCAATAGAAGTTGGTCATGAATTAGCTAGACTACGAGTAGTCCCCCATTTTTCCTCAGGGATAGTAGAGCGAGCAAAACGCGAGCGCGCGTGAAAATCACGCCACGCGAGAAAAGGCGACACGCGGCGGGGAGAGAGAAAAATGAGGTTTCTCTCTCCCCGCCGCGTGTCGCCTTTTCTCGCGTGGGCTGATTTTCACGCGCGCTCGCGTTTTGCTCGCTCTACTATCCCTGAGGAAAAATGGGGGACTACTCGTAGTCTATGAATTAGCATAATCTTAAGCAGAAACACCACTTTACTTTGAGACCAACACGCGGCGGGAGCAGCAGTGCTGATCCACTCCACAATCGGCCGTCATTTGTTACTGAGCATATTCTTTAGATAAAGGCAAACTAAGTGTATCAAGCGCTTGATGACCGCTTAACGAGGTGACCACAATGGGAGAACTCTCGTTGGGACGGCTAAGAGGTGGCCGCGGCCGCTTTGATTGAGGTTTAAATTTCCCATCACAGACTATTGGTTACTTGCCTCTTAATAAAGGGTGGTTGCTTAATAGGTGGCCGCCTTATGGAGGTTCAACTGTCTACTCTAGACCTCTAGAGCGTTAAACGCCAAAATGGTATAGTCCAGACAAAAAATAAGCGATATAAACTTATTTTGATGAATAAAGAAAGTTAACATCATATGTGACATGTCAGGATATCAGTCGTTTCCGACCGGCATAGCAGATATCAACGCACTTTTTAGGCAAGGAGAATGTTAGGCAGTCCTTTCGGGGAAACTAAAATTGTCCACCACAACATTTTCATAAAATGCATGCACGAAATAGCACTTCTGTGATAGAACGTTTTATATTAGTGCTCTATATAGTTATTTTTGTAGCATTAAAGTGTCCACGTTACCGTTAAATTGGGCAAAGTGAAAACTATCATTGTCTATAAAATTAACTAAAAAAGGGCTTGTATATTTGTTTCCGATATTTCGTGACCTAGTGCAAAAAAGTTTTAATATCGAAACCAAGTCAATTATGTCTCGTGCGACCGTAATACGCCGCAATGACTTACTGGGTTTGCCTGAGGCATTTGGCTGTCTGGAATATTATCAGAAGTCAATACTAGTGTAGAACTGCTGCTAAGTGAACTATTTTTCATTTGCTCAGTGATTTTACGAGTAAAATACACCATCAATTTTAAATAAAATAAAATAATGACAGATGTTTTATTCAAACAACCCCTTCAATCAAGTTAATATTCATAATTTAAGTAGGCATTGATCATCAAAATTAACCCCTTTAGCTTGTATGTTTTGTTTCTCCAATGCGGGTCATGTGATAATACTGTAGAGAACTGTTTCTTTCAAATTTCGTCTTATTCACGTGTAAATGTACGCCTAATTTATGATGATAAAACAGTTCCCCTGGGACCGCTAACGGTCACGTAAAATTTACCCAGCTTGATCATGTTGATGGCAAATTGATTTATTCTAGCGAAAGTTTTGGATGATTTCTATGTGGCAAACTCAGGTCGAGCAATATATGCAGATTACAAATAAACGAATTTTCTTGGGTATTAAAATCCGTTGCCCAGATTTCCCTCCCACCGGCGGTCTTTAACGAGTCCTTAACTTTTTTTGTGATTTTGATATCGTGCGAGTGTTAGTTTTACTCACGAAATATCGAGAATATTTTTACCTGTCACGGCTCGAATTTCATATATCATTTGCAGTCAGTGTCAGAGTGTCTCGAAGCGTTTTTCAAGCTTTCAAGAAGATTCAATTATTAAAATTTGTCATGATACGCAAACGAACTGATTATTTGCGGTCGTACATGGTAATGCGGTCTGATTTATAGCGAGGATATTTCTAATTGCTATTTTACGCTCGGTTGGAGGTTAATTTAGAAATTTTATGATAGCATTGAAAATGACTCTTGTAGAATCAATATAGCAGAAAAAAATTCGACCCAAATTGAAAAGACCTAGAACTATGACTCACAGTCAGCAAAATGTCAATATGTCTGAGTTATGTCTCAACTAATAAACATACTTTCTGCTCTGGTCTATAAACACGAATAATAAACTATTTAAGGCTAACATAATAGCCCCACAACCTTTTGATTTACCATTATCCGGATGAGCGCGCGAACACAAGCAAAGTAATAAACTGTTAGTAAAGCTGAAATTATATTCATAATTTTGGAGACTTAAAACGTCATGCCTCTAAGTCATATTGACGTCAGGCAATTCTTTTTCGTGCTTTTTGCAAGTCGAATTAATCTCCTTTCCGACGGTTCTTGGATGATTACGCAAGACGAAAAGAAGCCTCTTGACTAAATTTGCAAAGAGAACATTCTCCCATGCTGGCAAGGGAGCTACGTGCACTTTATATATGCAAGAAAAGTATATACTAAGTTGTTGGCGACCACAATGTCAATACCGGTATACCAGAGAAACTCCCAATTTCATGTCTCGGAAATTTCTGCCAAGACGATATATTACTTGACGGAAAAAAATAAAGAAATTTAGGTGAAAAGTGCAAGAAAATTAAATGTGAGTTAATGCTAAAAAAAAAGTACTTGACTTGCAGTTAATACTTTTAAGCAATTTATATACCCCATGCAGTACGATCGTTTTAGATTTGTGTGGGATGTCGGTGGTGGATTTTTCCCTCCAGCTGAGAGAACCAACTGTTCGAGTGTAACTTATTGCGCAACGATTTATTCTGAAGTGTCTTGAAATTCTTATGTAAAATCTATGCTAGGTACTTTTCAAAACAAACCCAACATGTATTATATGTAGGTTCTCAAGACAGTCGCTCATCTCGCTGGGAAATGACAAATTGCACGCAATTGGGCCGGAGGTTTGAAAATGTATGTTTTCAAGAACCCCTCTTCAAATGTCTTCGAAAACAATTTAATAGTCAATGAAGCAAGGTGTATATAAAAACGAGCTAATATTTAGACTTTAAAAAACCTGTCAAGAACGCTCTGTATAAATACCAGAACATTGCTCAAGATAATATCTTGAATCGTCACCTTTCTTGAAAGTTGGTACTATAACAGCGCATTATTTATTGTACAACCCAAGCATATAGGGCTAATTGTTAATTATGATGAAAATACGCTTCCCAAGTTGGGTATGTGTTTACGCTACACTTGTTTTTATACACCAGTTCAAAACACTAACGTACTTTTGTATAACATAGTTGTTCTTGGTTCGTTTTTGATAGATTAAAACACATTTATATCGTGGACCAAGGTTAAAAATGACACTATATTAACCCTGGCGGAAAACAACTAGTTTATTAACCATGAATGCAAACCGAGTATGAGATCGGGTATGGGGGACGAAAACATTGCGAGTTGTTGAAAGAACGACGGACGAAATTAAAGCTCTTAGAAAAGTTCAAAAAATCGATTTTTCATGTTTAAAAACAGAAATCTTAAAAACGTATATTTGGTATTAAGAGACTATACGTTCCGTTATCAGTGGTCATTAACAGTGTTAGACGGTACTTTTACCAATATAACTATCCTTATTTAAGGCAAAATTGAAATTAGACATGTGCTAAATTATAACTTTAGATCAGCTTATGACTGTACTGTAAGCCTTACCGCGAACTCAATTTCCGTTATTTAAACAGATCAGACGCTTTTTCCTAGTCTTCCGTCGAATGAAGCTCGTTGGAATCGATAACTTAAACGACTCGCTCAGAAATAATTGTAATCAGCTGAACCGTAACTTAGATGAATATTTTCCTTCTTCACGATGGGCAAAACAACTAGCCTAGGAATTCAAATAAACTCACCAGCTCTTTGCGAAGCCAGGCCAAAGCAGTGTCCATGTCGAGATTCCTATTTTTCCGACTCTTCGCGTTGAAATCCGGAACTTTAGGACCGGCGGCAGAGGGCCATAATGGTGTCTGGTTCGGGACATCCATCATTCTCACGCGCGGCCGCTAAATAACACAGCGAATTGAACTTTCACCGTTTTTTCCACAATCTATCAAACGTCACTGTCGATGATATGTATATTGCTGCTTCGCGATACCATCAGAAGAATAAAATAAATCAATATAGATCTAATATCAAGCCCTAGCAATTTTCCGTATCCGACATGAATTTCGCCGGTTGCACCGGTAAAAAACAGTCTGTGAATAATTATTTTTCTCGTCCCAGCAATCTTTTGTTTACGAAGTTTCTTGTTTTCACAACGATTTAATTGACCATCTTTGTTTTCTGTTGAATCAAGAGTGCCATAACAGTCGAGCTTTTAGTCCAAGCTATCCAATTAGCTAAAGACTTCCACAAAAAGCAGTTTTCTTTACAATCCAGTGTTCTTGTCTGTTTGGAGTCAGGTGTTTTTGTCATTCTCCAACCACCAGAGAAACACAAAATTTGCATATTATATTCGATCACGACCGCTTAATTTTAATTTTCACTTGCTGTACTTTAGTTAACTAAAACGTCCATCTAATCGATGGACCCCGAAATTGCGTTGACATTTGCTATGATTTCGTAAGTGGAGAGAGTTGAATATACTTTCATCGTTAAAAGTAATTTGCGGTTCAATATTGACCAAAATGAGTCGAAGGGGATCTTTATTTGACATTTTTGTCTTTCCAACTGGACTTCAATAAAAAAAAAGATGGGCTTTTTTGTTTTTTGCTTTTTGTGACGTCAATGGCAGAAAATTAAAAGCTCATAAAAAAACGAAACTAGCATGGTTTTCAAAAACACCTTTTTTCTGCCTCACAAGTTTGCTTTCGTGCAACTCACGTATAAGCTTTTCTATTGGCATAGGTGATGAAGACAGCCAATTTGTTATAATGTTTACCTTACCTTCGGTATGAAGGCGTCCTCTATTAATTAAAGCATTATTGCATATTTGTGTCACTGAAAATAGTAGAAATGTTTGAATAACAAATTCCAGTAATCTTGTTTTTAATCTCGAAAGTTTTAGCGCGCGGCACCGGTGATGAAAAGTTCGTGAAACGAAAATCCGCCTCAGACCATTACAAAAGAATAAGGAACGGAAATGGACCGGATACTTAACTCTTAATGACTACACAATGAATCTCTCTAAATAATTATAAACAGGACATATTATGTGGTGGGAAAAATTATCAATACAAAAGATTAACTCTTTTCTAATCCTTCTGTTATCCTAAACGTTTTAAAGACAAACTCAGTTTAGCTGTAACATTTAAAGGCACCGGCTTCCAGGCCGCAGGTAGCTGAACATGAGGTGATGCCGTGCACGGCCAGTCAAACGTCTGTGGCGTTTTCTTGTTATTTGCTTGTGAGATTTTAATTACCACGAAGTGGAAGAAAGGAAATGTCTTAAATACTAGGTGATTGTGGCTATTTCTTCAGTTTTCTCAATGTAGATAGCTCATTCTTTTCGCTGCAACCGCTTCGCGCCTAATCAAAGTTTTGCTAACTAGGCATCGACCAAAATCTGCAATTTTAGTTTTTCAACGCTAATAATTTTGGTAAACTAATCAAACGTTTCGTAAATCAGCAATCCACCAATCTTTAAACGGTGAATATTGCCACCTTAGCTTTAAATACTTTGCTTAGCTTTCGCAAATTTCTCTCGCTTGACTTCTATTCGCTAAGATGAAGCGCTCTTTTGCTTCGTCATGCCTTGTCGTATTGCTCAACCCCAGACCCCACTTTTAAAAGCTGCTCATTCGAGAGACGTGCAGCTGCATAGCCACCCTGGCCCCGTTTGTTCGTACTGAGAGCCTAGCTACACGACCCTCGGGAGCAGATAAAAAATGCCTGCACTCCGTCAACATGGACTTGATGGCCGTTCCATCCTGCTGCACCGGTCTTTTTTTTTTTTTCATCAGCTGTGCCGCAGTGATAAGTCGTATAAAGTACTGTTATGGGGCAGTGATAGTCTCCTGTGGTATGTTCACACTTGGTGCTGGGGTGACTGTGCTTGAGTCCGGTTCCTGCCGGGTCCTAATGTGAACACACCGTCTTTTCAATTACCTACGCCAGCTTTCGGACACAGGTGCGGCACCCGAGTATACTGACGTAACTTTGTACTTGGGTTCTAAAGAGAGCACCAGACACCTGTATTCACACCGTTTTCCAAGGCCGATCCACTGCTATGGAAGCCAATAACTACCGCTACGCTATGCCCACGTTTCAAAATGAAGTCTTACAGGCCAAATATAGAAGAGCAAACACAGCTGTCTATCAGGCAGCCTGCTGTGTAAACGTAGTTCAACCTTAGGCCTGGTTCAGACGCCGTACTTTTCATGTGCCGAACCTAACTGAATAAGAAGCTGAAACCTCGCTGTGACCGCGCTGTAGACTAAGTCTGCCGCATGGCACACAGCTTGGATTCAATTCAAGCTGTGACTCTGTCGAACTTAACGCTTTTGCCGCACCAAACTAAAACTGCCGTACCAAACTGATTCAGACGCCGCTCTTTTGCCGTACTTAATTCGTCAGTTAGGTTCGGCACATGAGTGGAGCGGCGTCTGAACCGGGCCTTAGTGTGCCACTACCCCAGGACTAGTGTTCACCTTGGCACAAAGTGTAAATAAAGCCATAATAGTAAAGTTACTTTTCGTACTTTGTAAAAGTCAATACTCTGGTGTCAAAACGCGTTTTTCGGTGTGTTCACAAACGCCAACGTGCGTGCAATCTGAATATGGCAAGTTTAATTATCTTCTTGACAGGGTAAAAAATACGCTGTTTCAAAATAACCAGATTCGTACAGGCGGAGCCTAGAATCACGAAAGCAACGGTAGCGCAAAAAACGTCTACTAACTTAGACATCCTTCATAATTTAATTTTTTGTAAGCCCTAGAGAAAACAGCAAGTTCAAGTTCGTTCACGGGCTTTATAATTCATGTTTTAATTTTTGTGTTATCAAACTAAATCATTTAATCGTGAATTAATACCCCTGGCGGAAATTGCTGACAAATTAATCTGGGTCGAAGATACAGCTTATTCAAGGTATTTTTATGCTGGCTGTTTGATCAAAGATCCAGTAATCCGCCCAGACAGTTGAAGTTTACACTCCATGTTGGTAGTCAAATCCCCGAAGAATAAGAGCACTTTTCTTAACCGTCTCAGGGTTAAAACTGATGGCTTTTTACTTCTTGAGACGTCAGAAAGGCAACACGTCTAATGATCCAATCAAAAACGTTGCACGTGCGTCATACTTTTTTTTATACATTTCTTCGCCGTCACTACAGGACTACAACTTGACGTATTATAGAGGAAACAAACAATCGCTAGCCTGCGTCGCCGGCAGTCTAATTCACCTAGATAGACAACGAACTAGATCAAGGTCACTTTGACCGCGGCAGGATTAGCTCAGTCGGTAGATCGCTCTACTGCAGAGTGGGAGGTTGCAGGTTCGATTCCCTGCGCCGGACCAATAGTCAGGGTCTTAAAATGAATAACTATGAAGTAAATGGGGTACTGCCTTTGCCCTGCAAGCGGCAAGAGACCTTCGCTTGGCTCGGATGACCACGTAAAATGGTGGTTCCGGTAAAAAGAGTACCCCCAATTAGTACTTTCGTGCTAAATACATTCATTTGACACTCAAATAAAGTGCTTTTTTTTGTTTCTTTTGCTCTCTCGAGCTCTCGAGTGACAAGTCGGGCTGTAACGCGGGCTAACAATCGACGACAATTTTTTCTTTCTATTTTTAAACTCTGATATGCTCCTTAAAAATTCACTTCCAGGAAAACTCGCCTAACCACCATAAATTTTTAAAGAACGCGAACGCCCTTTATAAATGACGTCCCCCGTTACGGTCGTTGTCCTGTTTCCTCCCCTACTAACTGCGCATCCGCGAAGCCCTAAAGCCCCGCGCAAACCGTCGCAACATTGTTGGATGTTACATGTTGCGTCCGTTTGCACAACCTGTTGCATGTTGTTGGGAGTTGTTACGCAAAGTTTGAAACCGGGCAAACTTTTGAGCCAAAAACTCGCAACATTTCTTTAGTTCCATGATCGCCGAAGCGTAGAGCAACAATGCTAGATCCGTTTGCACAGCTTTTTCAACATTGTTGGGGCCAGGCACGCTCATTACACACGATCTCCTTAGAGACAGCAACGCAATAACTTCGCGTGATAGACCAACACGTGTGATAGGCCAACATTGCTGGGAATTGTTGCATCCGTTTGCACACCACCGCCAACACGGACGCAACAACTCCCAACATTGTTGGCCCAACAGTAGGTCCAAATAGGCCGTGATAAAGTTTGAAAGGATGCAAATTCATATATTTTTTAGTGACATTATCACTGCCCGCGTCGTGGTTGCTTAAGCTCCCTACTATCTCCTAGATCTCCGAGGATCAGAAATTAAAAAGAAAACAGAAAAGGGACTTTTATTTGAGTGTCAATGTATTTAGCACGAAAGTACTAATTGGGACACTATATTTTACGTCTCCAACTGGAGACGGGACCGCCATTTTACGTGGTCATCCGAGCCACGCGAAGGTCTAGCCTGTTGCAGTGCAAAGGGAGTACCTTCATTTCTCGGTTATTTTAAGACCCTGAGTATTGGTCCGGCCCCAGGAATCGAACCCGCGACCTCCCGCTTTGCAGTCAACACGCTCTACCAAAAACAAAGAACAA